GGTACCATACCACAAAGGGAAGGCTGGGATTGATTTTGGGGGTAATTCCCTCAACATTTTAGGAATTAGGGGCCATAAAAGGGCAAAAAAACAAGCGTTTTTCTAGTTTCAGGACAATAACTTGTGTGTAAGTGTATGGATCTTTATGAAATTGTACTGCAAGGTTCCATATCACAAAGGGAAAGCTGGGTTTGAGTTTGGGGGTAATTGCCCTAAACGTTTAGGAATTTGGGGCCAAAAAGGGGCCAAAAAACAAGCATTTTTCTAGTTTCCAGACAATAACTTGTGTTCAAGTGTATGGATCTCTCTGAAATTGTACTGCAACGTACCATACCACAAAGGGAAGGCTGGGATTTAGTTTGGGGATGATGAATCATAAGGGGGTTCAAAAAATTTTGGGGGGATTTTTTTTCATTTTTTTTCTTTAAAATATTCCATTTTAAATTGGTTATTTCTGATTTATATATAAAAGCAAATAATAATGATATGGTTTGAATAGGTTTTTAAAAAAATTTTAAGTTCTTAGACCACATTCATTCTGTGTCAGAAACCTATGCTGTGTCAAATACTGTAAATTCAGAAATTATTGCGTGCATTTATTATTGCGATTTTGTCATTTTAGAATAAAATGCGATTTTATTTTATGCGATATTGAGAAAAATCCTGTTTAATTCATATAAAAAATGTCAAAATGCGAGTTTAAATTATTGCGATTATAACCCTGTCGCATTTTTCGCAATAATAAAAACATCGCAATAATTTCTGAATTTACAGTATTTAATTACAATCCAAAGTCAGTGCTGTATCAAGCTTGAATGTTGTGTCCATACTTGCCCCAACTGTTCGTGGTTCGACCTCTGCGGTCGTATCAAGCTGCGCCCCAGCGGAGCATTTTATTTGCGTATTATTTTGAAAACTGCAATAGATAAATATAAACTTTTAAAAGGAAGAAAAAATGATTAACAGGATAAGATCTACAAATATGTCAACATAAATAAAATTATCAGTTAACTCTTAATTATTTAATTTTGGATGTAACACGTCTTCTGATTGGCTGAAAGTTTTTTGTCTATCAGCTCATAGACATAATTTTGTCATGTGACCGTGATGTCATCAACGTTTTTTTCATGATTTACTCCTTAAAAAATGGAATTTAGAATTTAATTATAAGGAATGACTGTAATATTTTTTTTCTGTCTATTCGAAATAACCTCAAAAATGTGGTGCTACACGGGTTATTCAGTGTGCACCACAATTTTTTATGTTCATTGACAGAAAAAAATATTACAGTCATTCCTTATAATTAAAATTCTAAATTTATTCTAGAGTTATTCCTGTTTAATGATGTATTTTACTCAAAAAAAGACCATTGTTGAAGATGCAGGTAAGCAACACAGGCTCTTTAGAGCCTCTAGTTTTATTTTTATACGACTGCAAAAAATTTTTTGGGATCGTATAATCGTATGATGTCTGGGTTGTCTACGTCGTCTGCGTCGTTGTCCCAAGGCACATTGGTTTCCGGACAATAACTTTAGTTTAAGTGAATGGATCTCTATGAAGTTTTTTGAGAAGGTTCAATACCACGAAAGGAAAGTTGGGATTGATTTTGGGGATGATGGTTCTAACCGTTTAGGAATTAGGGGCCCAAAAGGGGCCCAAAACAAACATTTTTCTAGTTTCAGGATACTAACTTGTTTATAAGTATTTCGATTGCTCTGAAATTGTACAACAATGTTTAATACCACAAGTAGAAGGTTGGGATTCATATAAGGGGTTATGGGGCAAACAGTTTAGGAATTAAGGGCCTAAAAGGGGCCAAAAACAACAATTTTTGTAGTTTCCGGACAATAACTTGTGTGTAAGTGTATGGATCTCTCTGATATTGTACCATAAGGTTCCATAGCACAAAGGGAAGGCTGGGATTGAGTTTGGGGGTCATTGCCTCAAACATATAGGAATTAAGAGCCAAAAAAGGGCCAAAAACATACATTATTATAGTTTCCAAACAATAACTTGTGTTAGATGTGTATGAATCTCTCTGAAATTGTACTACAAGGTTCCATACTACAAAGGAACGAATTGGATCGAGTCTTAGGGTAATTGCTCAAAGGGGGGATTCCAAAAGTCGGGGGGGGGGGGGGAGGGGGTTCCAATTTTTTTAAGGAATTCATATTTTTTCAAAAAATTTCAAATTTCAAATTTTGTAAAAGTTTCAAGAAGTAATCTTCAATTGCACAGTATTGCGAAATAGATTTGTAAGATCTTTTACCACATTTATTTTGTGTCAGAAACCTATATTATGTCAAAAATTTGATCACAATCAAAATTCAGACAGTATCAAGCTTGAATATTATATCCAAATTTGCCCCAACTGTTCAGGGTTCGACCTCTGCGGTCGTATCAGGCTGCGCTCAGGGAAGCATTTTATTGTTTATTATCTTAAAAATTACAATAGATGGGAAAAACTTTATATAGCAAAAATAATCAGCTAGAAAAAAATCTACAAATAAATCCATCCGGTCTTGTTAGTGCTCTCACGTGTACAATTCTTGCCAGAATTTTATGAAACTTATATCTTGGATTTATATCAGCAATGTCTTGGACGAGTTTGGAAATCAGTGCACATCAATTATTTTTAAAAGAGTTATGCCCCTTGGAAACATTAATTATATGGAAAATTGCACCGTTAGTGCTCTCATTTATACAATTCCTGCCAGATTTTTATGAAACTTATATCATAGGTTTATATCAGCAATGTCTTGTACGAGTTCGAAAATCAGTGCCAACTAATTTTTTTTAAAAGAGTTATGCCCCTTGGAAACCACAATTATATGGAAAATTGCATCGTTAGCGCTCTCATTTGTTGAATTCTAGTTAGATTTTTATGAAACTAATATCATAGGTTTATATTAGCAATGTCTTGGACGAGTTCGAAAAATCAGTGCTGATTAATTATTTTTAAACGAGTTATGCCCCTTGGAAACATTAATTATATGGAAAATTGCATCATTAGCGCTCTTATTTGTACAATTCTTGCCAGATTTTTATGAAATTTATATCATAGGTTTATATTAGCCATGTCTTGGACGAGTTCCAAAATCACTGCTGATCAATTATTTTTAAAAGAGTTATGCCCCTTGGAAACATTAATAATTTGGAAAATTGCATCTTTAGCGCTATCATGTGTATAATTCTTGCCAGATTTTTATGAAACTTATATCATAGGTTTATATCAACAATGTTTTAAAGGAGTTCGAAAATCAATGGTGATCAGTTATTTTTAAAAGAGTTATGACCCTTGTACACATTGATTAAATGGATAATTGCATTGTAAGTGCTCTAGCATATACAATTTTTGCCAAATTTTTATCAAATTCATATCAAAGGTTTATAACAGCAATGTGTCAGACAATTTCAAAAATAAGTGCCGATGGAAATATTAAATATATCGGAAATTGCTCTCAAGTCTTTGTTTTCAACTCTCTAGTAAGATCATTTTAAAAAGTTTTAAAGAACAAAAAAATTTTTTTTAAGTAATTGTCCTTGGACGGAACAGATAAAATATGTGCAGAGCTGGGGAATTGGAACTCTGTTCTTTTATTTACAATTTATTTTTGCGTTTTTGCCTATTATCTCGAAAACTATAATAGATAGATAGAAACTTTAAAGGGCAAAAATGATTAGTAAGACAAGATTTACAAATAAGTCAATATTGCAGAAATCACCAGTTGACTCCTTATATGACGATTTTGTCCCCCTATTTTTATACCACTGCGAAAAAATTTTGCGGTCGTATATTGGTATGACGTTGGCGTCGTCGTCGTCGTTCGAAGACACATTGGTTTTCGCACTCTAACTTTAGTTTAAGTGAATGGATCTCTATGAAATTGTACCATAAGGTTCAATACCACAAAAGGCAGGTAATGATTGATTTTGGGGGTTATGGTACCAACAGTTAAGGAAAAAGGGGCCAAAAATAAGCATTTTTGTAGTTTCTGGACAATAACTTGTGTGTAAGTGTATGGATCTCTCTGACATTGTACCACAAGGTTCCATATCACAAAGGGAATGCTGGGATTGATTTTGGGGGTAATTGCCTCAAAATTGTAAGAATTAGGGGCCAAAAAAGGGGCAAAAAACAAGCATTTTTCTAGTTTCATGACAATAACTTGTGTGTAAGGGTACGGATCTTTCTGAAATTGTACTACAAGGTTCCATATCACAAAGGGAAAGCTGGAATCGAGTTTGGGGGTAATTGCCCAAAAGGTTTAGGAATGAGGGGCCAAAAATAAGTATTTTTCTAGTTTCCAGACAATAACTTGTGTTCAAGTGTATGGATCTCTCTGAAATTGTACTGCAAGGTACCATACCACAAAGGGAAGGATGAGATTGATTTTGGGGGTAATTGCCTCAAAATTTCAGGAATTAGGGCCAAAAGGGGCAAAAAACAAGCATTTTTTTCTAGTTTCAGAACAATAACTTGTGTGTAAGTGTATGGATCTTTATGAAATTGTACTACAAGGTTCCATATCACAAAGGGAAAGCTGGGTCTGAGTTTGGGGGTAATTGCCTTAAACGTTTAGGAATTTTGGGCCAAAAAGGGGCCAAAAAAACAAGCATTTTTCTAGTTTTCAGACAATAACTTGTGTTCAAGTGTATGGATCTCTCTGAAATTAAACTGCAAGGTACCATACCACAAAGGAAAGGATGGGATTGAGTTTGGGGGTGATGAATCATAAGGGGGTTCAAAAAATTTGGGGGGGGATTTTTTTTTTCTTTAAAATTTTCCATTTTAAATTGGTTATTTATGATATATATATAAAAGCAAATAATAATGCTATAGTTTGAATAGGTAAATTAAAAATTTTTAAGTTCTTAGACCACATTCATTCTGTGTCAGAAACCTATGCTGTGTCAAATATTTAATCACAATCCAAATTCAGTGCTGTATCAAGCTTGAATGTTGTGTCCATACTTGCCCCATCTGTTCAGGGTTCGACCTCTGCGGTCGTATCAAGCTGCGCCCAGCGGAGCATTTTATTTAAGGTGTTCTCACCTATTATTCTGAAATTGATAGATGGAGATAATTTTATAGACCAAAAATGATCCACAAGGCAAGATCTACAAATAAGTTGATATTTCTGAAAAAATTGTTGGTCAACTCTTTATGTGAGTTGGTACACTTATATGACAACTTTTACAAATAGTTTCGCATTATTGCTTTATATTGAAAACTACCGGTATAACCGATAGATAGAAACTTTAAAAAGCAAAAATGCAAGACACGATCTGCAAAAAGGTCATCATAGATGTCGATGAATTTGTCAGTTGTCTTCTTATAGGAGTGATTGCCCTTAAATGGTGATTTTTTTTAACCTATTTTTGTGTTTTGGTAAAAAAATATAGAAGATAGAGAGAAACTGTACACAAATGATCAGCAATACAAGTTCAACAAAAAAAGAGATTTATTTCATGAATAATATTCTAGTCTATATTTGAGGAGTGTCCATTGACGAAGATGCACATAGACCTAGGTGAGCAACACAGGCTCTTTAGAGCCTTTAGTTTAAAAGATGTGGTACCCATTCAGGGATTTATTAATATTTTCTCACGGACCTATTAGCACTCAAATTCCCAATATAGATAAAATGCTTCGCTGAGCACAGCCTGATACGACCGCAGAGGTCATACCCTGAACAGTTGGGTCAAGTTTTGACACAATATTCAGTCTTGATACTGTCTGAATTTGGATTGTGATCAAATTTTTATACGCCCGTCAAAATTTTGACGGAACGTATTATGGTATACAAATGTCGTCTGTCCGTCTGTCTGTTCGGCATAAACATGTCGCACCGTAACTTTAGAACGACATATCCAAATTTGATGAAACTTAATATAGTTGTTTCTTATGATTGTCAAACGATCTGTATACTTTTTGGTGAAAATAAGATTAAAACTTTTTGAGTTACGGGACTTATTAACTAAAACAGGTGTGTGTTTTTTTTTTTTTTCGCATGTCACGCCGTATCTCAAAAACATTATGATTATTGCTCAAAACTTTACACACTTCTTAGTTATATTAATCTTAAGATCTATATACTTTTTGGTGATGATTCAAAATTTTATTTTTGAGTTATTGAGTATTTTGTAAAAAAAAAAAAAGGGGGAGGGGTTTTTCACATGTCGCGCCGTATCTCAAAAACGATTAATGATTATTGCTTAAAATTTTACACACTTCTTAGTTATATTAATCTAAAGATCTGTATACTTTTTGGTTTTGATTCAAAATTTTATTTTAGCGATATTGAGTTTTTTGTAAAAAAAAGGGGGGTTTTCGCATGTCGCGCTGTATGTCAGAAATTTTTGATTATTGCAATACAAATACAAATGTTTTAACCAATTTCGATGGGATTAATTAAGTCTTTAATTTTTGGGGTTCTAACCTTGTATAACTTTTTTGAATATTGGGCCATATTTTTAAATTGGTCTACATTGAGGTCAAAAGGGTCCAAAGTTAAACTTTGTTTGATTTCATCAACAACTGAATTATTGCGGCTGTATGATTTGCTGAATCCTATTGTGCATTTAGATTTTTATTTTGGGCCCTGTTTTAAAATTAGTTCATATTATTTTGAAGGGTCCAAAATCAAACTCTATTGTGCAATACTTTGCTATTGCCCAATACTGTGCAATTGAAGATTTCTTGCTATTGTGCAATACTGTGTTGTTGCGCAATATTGTGCAATTGAAGACTTTTTGCTATTGCGCAATACTGTGCAATTGAAGATTTCTTGCTATTGCGCAATACTGTGCACTTGAAGATTTCTTGCTATTGCGCAATACTGTGCTATTGAGCTATACTGTGCAATTGAAGATTTCTTGCTTTTGCGCAATACTGTGATATTGCACTATACTGTGCTATTGCACATTACTGTGCAATTAAAGATTTCTTGCTATTGCGCAATACTGTGCTATTGTGCAATACTGTGCTATTGCGAAATACTGTGCAATTGAAGATTTCTTGCTTTTGCCCAATATTGTGCTATTGTACAATACTTTGCTATTGGGCAATTGAAGATTTCTTGCTATTGCTCAATAATATGCAATTGAAGATTTCAAAAATTTGAAATTTTAAAAATTTTGAAGAAAAAAAATGAACCCCCCTACAAAATTTGGAAAAAAAAATCCCCAAACTTTTTGAACCCCTACCCCCCTTTTGGAGTAATTACCCCCAAACTCAATCCCAGCCTTCCCTTTATGTTATGGAACCTTGTAGTACAATTTTAGAGAGATCCATACACTTAAACACAAGTTATTGTCTGGAAACTAGCAAAATGCTTGTTTTTTGCCCCTAATTCCTGAACGTCTAGGGCAATTAAACCCAAACTCAATCCCAGCCTTCCCTTTGTGATATGGAACCCCTTGTGGTACAATTTCAGAGAGATCCATACACTTAAACCTTAATTATTGTCCAGAAACTACAAAAATGCTTGTTTTTGGCTCCTTTCTGGCCCCTTATTCCCAAGATGTAGGTACCATCACCCCCAAAATCAATCACAACTTTGCTTTTGTAGTATTGAAACTTCTGGTAAAAATTCATAGAGATCCATTCACTTAAACAAAAGTAATTGTCCGGAAACCAAATGTGTCTTCGGACGATGACGACGACGCCGACGACGGCATCATAGCATTATATGACGTTTTTGCAGCCGTATAAAAAATGACTTAAATTTTCCTTAATTTTCAGTCCAGGAAATTCCATCTTGACAATGATTGCATGTGAATGTAGTTGACAAGTCTTATATTATTTGTAAAATATAATATAAATATATAAAAAAGAACAAAGCTAAAATTATATGTTAAAAAATTGAAAAGGATACAAGGAAGCTGTATTTCAATGTTATTAAATCACGATTTATGGGCCTGATCACAATGTTGACCTCAGCTCTGAAGAATCTCGTGAGTTTAGAAGTTGTGTTGCTGAAAGAATGATGATGATAACCATGAAAATCTATACATGTTTTTGTTTCAGGGTGCTTACAATGAGGCTGTTGAACATTTACATAGTTTTTCCTCCACAATGAGAGACAAAATGAAGGTAGGATTGAAGAGAAAATTATTAGGGCTGTTCTAGAAATTATTTTGTCCCTGGCTGCTTAGAATGCATATTTCACCTTAAAAGATAGGCCAAAGATACCAAAGGGATATTTATACTCATAAGTTGAAAACAAGCTGACAATGCCATGGCAAAAACTAAAAACTATCAAAATACAAATAACAGTTTACAAAACACAACACTGAGCATCAAAACCCAACCAAAAACTTGGGGTGATCTCAGGTGCTTTAGCCTAAGAGTTGCTTTAAGTCAAGCAACATAAATTTATTACAGTATGTTTGACACTAAAGTGGCTATGTGAATCAATTTAAGTGTAAATTTTTGCCAAACGAAGTAAATTGATTATATACAGGTGTGAATCCAGGATTTTGAAAAGTGGGGGCCCTCCTGACAATACAATTTTAGGAGTGTGACTTGTAAAAGTCTATGCTTTAACCATATATGTAGCTCCATAAAGAGGGGAGCTAAATCTGCCTCTGGTATATTTTGTTAATGTTTAAAGAGAAGGGCAGCTTATAATAAGGTACAGGGCCCCGAGATAAGACAAAATGAGGGACAGGGCTCCATGATAAGACAAAATTAGGGACAGGACATCCGACAATGGGCAGATGTTGCACTCTCTGATTATGTCTCAGTTGTAACTCATTTTCTAAATGCAAAATATTCCATGGAAATATAAGTTTTACGGAAAATCACATTGTCAACTCTTAAGCCTACATTTATTTAAGGATTTTTATGAAATTTATATTAAAGGTTTAAACGCCTCAAAAGAGTTTCGAAAAATTAGTGTGGTTCAAATATTTTTACAGGAGAAATGTTCCTTTGAAATATAAATTAAAAAGACTATAAAGACTATAGGTTCCCTATAGTAATCTGATAAATAGGAACCTTCTGGAGCAAAATTTTGATAATTTTTTCATTTCAAATAGTCCTGATATTTTTTGCAGTTAGAGATTCAGGGTTGATATTTCTAGATATCAATAACTTCCTCAGACCACTATGGATTGTATGATACTTGAACAGAAGCTTTTTTCATGATCAAGAAAAAGCATCTGGAGCTAATTATGAAAAGTATTATGGTATACCGTTGTCTGTCCGTCCGTCGTCAACATGTCGGACAATAATTCAAAAACGCTTTAACCAATTTGCATAAAACTTTGGTGAATTGTTTATTTCTATTGACATGAGCTCCCTTTCGATTTTTATAAATTTAACATTTTACTTTTCTGAGTTATGGGGTTTTATATTCATTAAAAAAGGGGGGTTTTCCAGTTTTCGGACGATAACTCAAAAATGCTTTGAGCAGTTTTCATGAAACGATGGTGAACTGTTTATATAAATTGATTTGAGCTCCCTTTCGATTTTTATAAATTTTAGATTTTACGTTTCCGAGTTATGGGGTTTTATTCATTAAACAAGGGGTAACTTTCCAGTTTTCAGAAAATAACTCAAAAATGCTTTGAGCGGTTTCCTTGAAACTTTGGTTAATTGTTTATTACTGCTGACATGAGCTCCCTTTTGATTTTTATAAATTTTAGATTTTACGTTTCCAATTCTGGGATTTTATTCATTAAAAAAGGGGGATTTTCCAGTTTTCAGACAAAAGTGCTTTGAACAAATTTCATGAAACTTTGGTGACTGGGTTATATCTATTAAAATAACCTCCCTTTAGTTTTTTTTATAAATTTCTGAAATGACATTGAGGAGTTATGGAACTTTATTCTTTGAAAAAGCGATGGGCGTATCATGCGCTCATGGCACAGTTCTTTATTCAAATCTAAATGGAATATCAGCTTTAACAGAGGATTCTTCATAATCAGAGATACAAACTAGAATAAATTTTTATGTTTTTATGCTCCCGCCGTAGCGGAGTGGGCATTAAGTTTTACCCTTGTCTGTCTGTACGTCCGTACGTCCCAAAGTTGGTTTCCGTTCTCTAACTTTATATAGATATAAGAAGATGTGGTATGAGTGCCAATGAGACAACTCTCCATCCA